GTTTGACTAAACGTAAAAATTCTCTAATTAGTCTGGAAACGGGGGACCTAATTCTTGCATTCTGTGAAAACGGGTAAGATTAGCTATAATGTAATTATCTTAATCTTCACTATCGTTACTTTTTGCCCAGCGAAGCGGGTCCTTGCAGCTAGATTCCAGATTACTTAGAAAAACAGTCTTTTATATATATAAAAAAAACTATATTACATACAAATAAAAACCCAGCGAAGCGGGTCCTTGCAGCTAGTAATAATAATAAAAATTTATTATTATTATTTATATAAATTAAGTAAAGCAAAAATAATTCAGAAAAATTACATTAATTTACTTTTTATACACTATAACAGTGATTGTATGAAATAAAATTTCTACAGTATTTCAACCCAAAACATTTCTTTCAAGTTAACTTGGTTGGATGTTGCATATTTCATATTCCTATATTACTTTCTTCAAATTTAATATATAATCTTAATTTTTCAGTATCTTTCCCAATTTTGTTTATTATTTACAACATTTTTAAATAATTAGATTTTTATTATTTCTTTAGTAATTGTAATATAAAAGCAATTTAAAATTATATTCAAATTGTTTACAAATAATTTTATTATGTTTCCTTAATTATTGATAATATCTGAATTTAAAAAATTAAATCTTAAATATACACTTATAAAAGATAAAATATTTTTAAAATAAATTTTTAAAAAAAATTATTGTCTAAATTATTTTCATTTTATAAACATCAAAATTGCTACTGGGATTTTTATAACTCAATATTAAACTTCCAAATTAATTTCAATAGGCTTTATAATGCTTTTGGGGAAATAATTTCATTTGATGGGAATAAGAATTCTGAAATATGCCATCAGAAATACACTGTTTAAATTTAATATCCTACAAACATATTCCCATAATAGAAATAAATAATCCTAGCCAATCCAAGATCAGTATTACTATTTATCCCAGTGTTCCGCAACTGGTGTGCTGCCACAAGGTGAAAGGTGTGATGTGAACTTTTATATATTCTATTAATTATCAAGTTTTATTTATATATTTTTATCACAGTTTCTGTGTTTCTTATGATTGTATTTCAATCTCTGCCAATGATCTTATTTCATAGTTTTGTTTGTCAGTATATTTTTATTCACCGACCTATCGTTAGACTTTCCTTTGAAGAATATAGGTCCCACGTCTTGGCAAATATTTCAGTTCTATCTTAGCTGTGCTCCAAAGTAGTTCAAAAATTGTGATTGCTAGCCAGTCTTATTATTTTTTTTATCTATTATTATTAGACTATTTAATTTTTTTCAAGATGGACAAATTCCTTGTACAGTGTGTTCTGTCAATGAGTACAAGTAGTGAAAGTAAAGAAAAAAAAAACAAAAATTAGCGTACCGGCAGTATAGTGATAATTATTTATCTTTCGGGTGTTTTTTTTTGGTGTGGTGATAAAACATGTCCAATCCCCCAGTGTATCATTTGTGGTGAAAAACTTAGTAATGCTGCTATGGTTCCCAGTAAATAGAAACATATTTGTCAATGAAACATTCTTCTCTGTCAGACAAAGATGTCAATTATTTTTGTTGGTTATTGGAACAAAACAAAAAAAAAGCAACATTCATGACTACAACAGTATGTGTTTCTGACAAAGTACAGGAAGCTATAAGATACCCGATATCATAAAGTCCAAAAAACCACATACCAGGTTGTTCAATAAGTTTTGTCGTTCAATAAGAGGTGGCGCTATTAGGAGCATCACTTTATTACTCTATAAATAGTACTACTATTTCATAAACACGTGTCAAGTTTCAAGTAGATCCGTCAACTCATTGTATATTTGCAGCTGTTCAAAGTCGATGTGTCATTGTATTTTTTTACAATGGAAAAAATCGAATATCGTGCAGTGATAAAATTCTTATTTTTGGAAGGTGTAGCACCAAAACAAATTCATGAACGATTGTTAAAAGTGTATAAGGACTCTTCACCTTCAATCAGAACAGTAGAAAGATGGGTTGCTGAATTTAAACGTGGTCGTACGAGTCTTGAAGACGATCCACGTGAAGGGCGTCCAAAAAGTGCATCAACACCAGAAATCGTAGCAAAAATACAGCATATGGTTTTGGAAGATCGTCGATTAACCGAGAGAGATTTAGTAGAAGCCCTAGGGATTTCGTTAGGCAGTGTGAGCAATATTTTGGCCGAAGTTTTGGGTTACAGAAAGCTGTGTGCACAATGGGTGCCGCATTCGTTAACTATGGAACAAAAACACATTCGAATGCAACTTTCTCAGCAACATTTGGAGCGTTTTAGAAAGGATAAAAAGGATTTTGTGCGTCGTTTCATCACTATGGATGAGACATGGGTCTACCACCATGATCCTGAATCAAAACAAGAGGCTAAAGAGTGGTGTGAACCCGGTACTTCGGCTCCGAAGCGTGTTAGGGTCCAGAAATCGGCCAAGAAGGTGTTAGCATCAGTTTTTTGGGATGCAAAAGGAATTTTGTTTGTGGATTACCTCCAAACTGGTAAAACAATAAACTCAGATTATTATTGTAACCTTTTGGACCAGCTAGATGTAAAAATTCGTGAGAAAAGACCTGGTTTAAAAAAGAAAAAAATCATTTTTCATCAAGACAACGCCCCCTCTCACACAGCTCAAAAAACCATTGCGAAAATCAGTAAATTAAAATACGAATTGTTGCAACATCCTCCCTATTCGCCAGATTTAGCTCCCTCTGACTTCTGGCTGTTCTCACATCTAAAAAAATTCATGTGTGGGAAACGATTTTCATCGAACGAAGAGGTAATAGCAGCCGTGGATGCGTATTTCGACAGTCTTCCGGATTCTCACTTTAGGGATGGAATCCATAAATTAGAAGATCACTGGAACAAGTGTATTG